TTGGGCTTTATATGTATAAACGATGTAGTTTTAATAAATATCATACCTAAGTAAACGAATGTGTCGTGCCACGCATTTCTTTAACATGCTGCGAGAATTGATGTATTTATCTAAATATGTCAAACGATTCTTCAGAATGTCCAGTTGTCCGGATATATGGAAAATCAGCAGCCCGAGAAAATGATCTATTCCAGTATAAGAAATGACTGCAAGAATTATGTAAATGGATTGGCTTATATATGTCAATTCATATTGCGGTCGTTTTGTTACATCGTAAAGATAATGTGTTTGTAAAGGCATAAATCTCCCTTTATCAGTAATGTTAGGCGTTAGTCTTATCGATATTCCAAATCCAGGAAGAACAATGATAAACGAGCATCCTACTGTCATAATGCAATATGCGCACATAATGATTAAGCGTGCACTCTGTGCTCGTTTGATCATTATATTTCTCTCTTGTTCATTTTTAGATTTTCCCCAATCCTCCGCAATCATATCTATGATTGGTACAATACCTTTAAAAACGTCAATTCTGTATATTTCAATGCACACTTAACAATATTGGAATGAGAACCATATCAAATTAGATTGTAAGCAATAAAAAGGTTAGGTGATAAAATAGATAAATAGAGAGAAAGAAAGAGAGAGATTAATTACATGAGCAAAAAGTAATTTCACTGATATAATAGTAGAAATAGTCTTTCTAAATGTAGCAATATCTTTTCTTCGCCAGTAAATAAATGACAAAATAAAATTTTTTTAAAACACATTCTTATTAAATTAGAGATTATGTTAATTTGTTACAAATTCATTATATCGTATGCTTGCCACAATGTGCAATTCAAGTTAAAACAGAATATGCCTACCTTCTTTCTTCCACCAAAAAACCATAATTCTTATCGTGCAACTTATTGCTGGCAAAGTAAATTGCAAATTATCTAGCATTAGCATGACATCTCCATAAATGCGTATAAAAGAATGTATCGAAGGGATTAGAACACCACATGTTATTGCTAGGTAAACGACAAGCGCTCGGAAATTACACATTAATTTCTGTCGAGGGTTCTGTGCTGTTTTAGGCCAAAGTCCAATAAAATCTAAAGTGATACGATTTAGTTTCACTGCCCACTCAAAATCTGCAAAAAGTTTGATAAGTTCAAAAATCGTTAAAGGAATTAGACAATTTAAAACATAAATATAGTCATAATCAGATTTAAAATTACCCGGTTATACAAAAAGTTATTTAACTAAAAGCGCGAAGCAGCTTCAAATAATATATTTTTAAACATATTTTATTTTTAATTAATAATGCGTGCTTTAAGAGTAAGAAAATAATTAATAAATAAATAAGTGATTGAGCTTAATGTAGTTAGACATAGTTAAAATTGTTACAATATGGCGTTTAACCCTTAGCTGGCACACACACACACACACATGTGGGGTATTAAACGCCCCAGCCTAGTTCAATTTAAATTTAAGTCTTTTTATATTACACAACTTGTACTTGTGGTACCATGTCTTGTCCCCAGCGTGCCAGCTATGTGATTTTGGTGAAGCATGCCAGATAAGGGTTAATAATATTATTTAACGTATTAATAATGAACACAATACACTGTCAAAAGCGACGATTCAGAGATTTTGTTAATGATGGGATAATAAAGAAATTGATTATTATAATTATTACAAATACTATAATTCTTTGCACACATTGTAGAATACTTTTTCAAAAGTTTTTCATTTATAGCAACAACAGTCAAGACTATAAGCACCTCGGTTTTCGTCATATTTTGAACTTTCCATGTCTAATGTTGCCGAGAGACTGACGTGTCGTTTCCTTTTTTAGGAATCGATATTACCTCCTGTGTAGCAAAAAATGTTTCTCGCGCATGCTTTCAATATTTCTTGTAGAAAATGTCAAACGATTGACTTACACACAAGGTCTTTAAATATTCATTTGTGCTGTTAACTTTCGTTTCATATTATCATCAAATTTTCAACACCGATCTTTGGACAAGAAATGTGTGAATAAAAAATTGCAGGTAACTAATATATGTGCGACGAAAAGTGCGCGCGAACATACGTTATATTCTCACGCTTCTGCACGAGAAGCTACACAATTCTAACTTAATAAGAATTCGCATTGAATGTATTACGCAGTATTTATGGTTTCCATTCTTTATAATAAGAATTTCAAAATATGAATCGTATGTTATCGCCGAAAACTTAGATAATATCAACTGAATCAGCATAGGTAATTACTTAGAGTACGTAACGTACTTAAGGTGCAAATCTACATGTATATTTATTATTACAAATAAACAATTAATAATCAACAATTAGACTTGGCTCATAAAAATATAAATATTTTTGGATTAAAATAAAAAATGGTGTTTAATTGTAGAAATATTGCTTCTAATCATTTAGAAAGATTGCTAGCACATTTCTGTTTAATCAGGCAGCATAATCTATATTTTATTTGTTAATAACATTTTAATATTTACACACCTCTTAATTTAGCGCATTTTATAAAATGTACAAATTATTAGATATGTAAAGTTTAAATTTATTTCACGTATCTAATAAATTTTCATGGTATGTAAAACAGATACGTATCCGACTGATGTTTTTATGATCTGAAAAATACACCTTAATATAATAATTACAAATATAATAAATTTAAATTTACACAAAGTTGGATATATGCATGTCTTAAATAAAGTATAGAGAGATCTGCATAAAGTAGACATAGATGCAATAAAGTATTCATGAATTATTAAATTACTGTGACGTGCATTGCATGAAAAAATAAAATTAAAATTTCAATGGCATTAAAATTTGTGATATAATAATTAAAATTTAATACTAAAATATATTACATTGCAAAACATAGTCAGCGTTATGGGAAACATTTTTCCAGCTGTGAGATAAATCGGTTTAGAACCTCTTATAAGCAAAAGCAACAAGTCTTGTGCAAGTTTTTGGTTCACGGAATACCATTTATTACTGTAAACCGCGTAATATATTTCATCACACTGAAAACATTATAAGCTTTTCAGATACACGTATATATTGTTCCGTAATAAAATTATTTAATCATTTTTGACGTACATATCTAAAAGACGATTGAAAGACATCTGAAAGATGTCTTTTAGACAAACGTGGTGTTTGAGTTATACGATTCTTATTGTAAAGAAAGAACACAACTTACTTGATTTACCAAAAATTCGCCCAGAGCACAATATAAAAACAATTGTCCAAATAAGAAAAAAATCGTAGATACAAAAAATACCATGTCTGTACGTGATAAATCATTTCCTTCGTCGAATAACTAATTATTTTATAAAATACATAAGAAAATGCCATATTTTAGTATTAAATTTATTTTAGGTGATTAATGTATAATAAATTAAGCTCATAAGTAAAATAATATGGTGACTTAGCTTATAAGTAAAGTAATAGTAAAATAAAAGTAAAATAACTTATATACTCCGGCGTAAATAATTTTTAATATTTACTATGCGTAAAAAATTAATTAATTAGCGAATTCTTTAAACGTTTGCTCACTTACGTCAATTATTCGGAAACCAAAGAAGGCCAAGAGTATACAAAAGTATGCATATAATGCTAGAAGTGTCAAATTATATGCATCTTCAACAATGTCAATGGCTCTGTAAAATGTACTCTTGTATTAGATATATTTGATTATACATATATCGTAGAAATTATTAATATGAATAGATATAAATATCAAACCTAAATAAACGAATGTGTTTCATGATGCAACTCTTTAGTAGGTCACGAGAATTGATATACTTATCCAGATGTGCCAAACGATTTTTGAGAATATCCAATTGGCCACATATGTGAAAGATTAACAAAGCGAGAAAGTTGTCAATTCCACAATTAGATGTATTAATGAAAAATATGTAGATAACTTGACTTATATACGTCAGTTCGTACTGCGGCCTTTTTGATAAATCGTAAATATAATGCGCTGGTAAAGGCATCAATCTGCCTGGATCAGTAATATTGGGTGTGTATCTAATAAGCATTCTAAAGCCCGGGACAATCGCAATAAAACAGCACAATGCCGTTAGGCAATAGCTGCAAATAGTAATAATACGTGCACTGTGTGCCCGTCTAATCATAATGTTTCTCTCTTGCTTAACTTCTGACTTTTCCCAATCCTCCGTAATCATATCTATCATTGGTATGATAGCTTCAAAAATGTTAATATTGGATAGTTGAACATACACATTTATCAATATTAAATACTACACTTAACAATATTATATACTATATGAAGCTATATTGTAACAAAGTTTAATAAGATATTTTACGAGCATTATCAATTACAATTACTTTTTATTCCACTCTTAAAAAGATAAATGGCATATAAATAAGTAATAAAAATAAAGTTTCGTAATATTAGATCTTTATCCCATAAATATAAACTTATAAATTAGATTTATTCCCACAATCCCATAAATATTAAATTATAAATATATCTTCTAACATTAAATATTGTATTTACATATGAAAATCAGCTTACATTACTATTGTATATGTACAAGTGATAATAATAATAATGTAACATCGTTCGCGAGGTCATCGAGCATATGTTAAATCGATAAAAATAGTCCTGTATCATTTTGCAACTTTTACTGATATTTATTATATTATGCATTTCAGAGTTACAGTAAAAATTGTTTACCTTCTTTCTTCCACCAAAAAATTGTGATTCTCACGAAAGAACTTATAGCAGTTAAAGTAAATGGTAAATTATCTACCATTAGCATGATATCTCCATAAACTCTTACAAAGAAGTGTGCACATGGAATGAAAAAGCCAAACGCCGACAGGACGGCGGCGAGGACTCGTAAATTGCACATTAACTTCTGTCGATAATTCTGTACGGTTTTAGGCCAAAGCCCAACAAACTCTAAAGCCATACGATTAAATTTCACCGCCCATTCAAAATCTGCAAAAAAAAGTTATAAGTCCAGAACAACAAACTCTATCCTGTACTGGAACGTACTCAAATGAGAGAAGATGGACAGAGTGAGGCAGATAACTGCTTTCCATCTGCATCTCTTTCTAGTAATTTTTAATTGGTCAACGATTTTCTTATATGTATAAAGTGAGATAGAAAATTATGATATTGTAGATACCAATCAGAATTACTAGAAAGAGATGCAGTGAAAAACCTCTTGTCCATCTCACTCTGCCCACTCTTTTAACATAGTAGTGGTCTAATAGAGTATAGAGTTCAGAATCAGACAATTTAAAACGTAAATAAATTTAGTTATAATTACACCCAAAAATACACAGTTACACAAAAGGTTTTTTAACTGAGTGCGTGAAGCAGTTTAAAATAATATATTTAATCATTATATTTTTCATTCGTTATGTATGCTTTGCAAGCACGGAAATAAGTAATGTGTAAACAATTATTGATCTTAATGTACAGTAGATAGTTAAAATTGTTACTACATGTTGCTTAATAATATTTTTTGTCATATTTGTCATAAAAAACACAACACAGTGACAAAAGCGACGATTCAGAGATTTTGTTAATGATGGGATAATAAAACATTGATTATTATTATAATTATTACAAATACTATAATTCTTTGCACACATTGTAGAATACTTTTTCAAAAGTTTTTCATTTACAGCAACAACAGTCAAGACTATAAGCACCTCGGTTTTCGTCATATTTTAAACTTCCCATGCCTAATGTTGTCGAGAGACTGACGTGTCGTTTCCTTTTTTAGGAATCGATATTACCTCCAGTGCAGCAAAAAATGTTTCTCGCGCATGCTTTCCATATCTCTTCTAGGAAATGTCGAACGATCGACTTACATACAAGGTATTTAATTATTAATTTGTTCTGTTAACTTTCGTTTCACATTTTCATGAAGTTTTTAACGCCGATCTGCACGCAAGACATTTTCAAATAAAAAATTGCAGGTAAATAGCATATGCTTAAGAAGCATGTGATAAAATAAGTTCTCGTACACGCGTTATATTCCCATGCTTCTGGAAGGAACTACAGAATTTTAACTGTAGTTAATAAGAATTTGTGTTGAATGTGTCCGGTAGTATTTATGGTTTTCATTCCTTGATATTTAAAAGTAAGGAAATTAAAAGTAAGATCTTAATATACATATAAT